TTTCTTTTTAAAACCAAAACCAATAATTTCGAATACATTTTTCAGTCAAGAGCACTTGAATTTGACAAGAAAGGAGACTTGAATTTTCCGAATATTGATCACTCATATGGTCGTCTCTTTATGGAGCAAAAGTTCTATTTGAACAATAGCCACACCAAATGGATCACTATTGGAATAAAAGCAAATCATGGCGGAACATTTGAAAATTCATTTCGGATTGTAGACAAGAAGGGAATGTATGTTGCCCTCACCGAATTACAAGTCGAGGCAATGTTCACAGCTGTAAAGGATATCCTCTGTTTGATCGAAACTGATGCACAACTGGATTATCAATCAACTGGAATTTCCGTTGAAGAAACATCATTTTGTGACGATGTCTACGAAATTAAAAATACATTTATTGACGAAGGTGTATACAAAAAATTTTTTCGCGCCAACTCGTTGCATCGATTGATTGAACTCGAAGAAATCATATTATTTCAATACAAAAACTTGGATGAATCTGCTGTACGAAAAACATTCTTTTCTTTGATATTCGAGGCAAAGGAAAAAGGTCTTAAATTGAACAACTTGCGCAAATTTCTTCATGACGCTGCAATGATGTCTAACCAATCGGATCACTTCAAAGTCGGTATATCGAAACAAACCATGTCCAATTTCGAGAACTACTTCAAATACATATTTACATCGGGAATTCAATCATAAATTTTCCATTTTATTACATATACTCATTTTGGTTTAATTTCTTTCTAAAAATGTCATATGTACTGAATTCAAAAATAAAAACACCAAATGTTAAACAAATACCCTTGTTTTTCTATTTTATGCGAAACATACTCTTTTTTACAGAACAACAAAGAACAACTGATGCAGAAATTGAACCCTTGTCTATTAATTTTATTGATTTTCTTAAATTCTGTCAGCTGTGAAAAAAATTCAACGAAAAAAAAATGTTGTTTTTAAATTTTCTAGTTCAGTTGAACTTTGTTCTCAATCGAATTCAGTCAAGTTAAACAAAAAAGTTTCTATTCCAGTTGAAAATGAATGATCAGTTAAAAAATCAATCAAACAGTGATGTCGAAAGTTTCTTCATTGATAATCAACAAAACCGCGATGACGATGATCTATTATCGGATATTAATAGTTTTTATTTTGATGATAGTGACGATGATCTCGTAAATAACGCTTACGACAATTACTTATCAAGTTTGGCTGCATACTTGTCAAATGAGCACAATTATGCACAACGTGTAAGTGGAATAAATTAAAATATGAGTGTTCATTCAATGTTTTATGTGTTAAAATAAATTTGAATTCACAGGAATTCGAAGTGATTGATCCAATGCAAAATATTAATCCAATGCAAAGTGGATCAGGATTACGTGAAAATGATGAAGATGATGACGAAATTGGACTACCTAGTAGGGTGGTTCATTTGATCAATTTTCATGAAATGTACCATGGACATATTTTTTATTATAGAGGACCTCAATACAAACAACTTTTGTTCTACGACTTTGATCCCAGATGAACCTCCGTTCGGCCCGGTACATTTTCATATTCCATGGTATGACCCTCTGATGACCCTCTGAATTGTTAGTTTTTTGGGTCTAGACGCCATCGGATCGCATTTTTATGGCGTTAAATCGATTCCTCGTCAAAAATTACGTCGAAATAGTACTTGTTAGGAAAAAATTTTTCAGGTTAAATACCATCCAGATCGAAGAATCCGGAAAATTCGAACTTTTTTCGCTTTTTTTCCTCAAAAAATCGGGAAAACCCATATTAAAACTAAAAATAGGTCGATCAAGCGTGACGCCAGCTACACCCCACAACCATACAAAGACTTTGGCAGTTACAGATTTTCCAAAGTTTTCCATATGAGTTAACCTTGTTCATGCAAATGTGCTATTTGTTGCAATTTTCAGCGAAGGGTCCGGATTGGTTCGGAAACTGTACCATATTTAATTTACCTTCAGTAAAAACTTCGATTTTTTCAGATTTTTTGGTCAAAAATTCATAAATATGAGAAAAATTACTTAAACTCAACAGGAACCTACATTTATGCATTTAAGATCGTAAAACTATTTATTTTAATTAATATTGTGCAGAAAAATGGCAAAAAATGTCAAATTTTCAATTCAATTTCTGGAAAGTAGTACCTTTTTTCAAAAAAAATCACAAAAATCGATTTTTCAAACTAATATTAGTTAATTGCAAATTTAACTATTATTTATGGAGCAAACCTCAAATTTAATATCGTAGGACCCAGAAGTATATTTATTTTTTATAAATGGGTTAGAAAATTGCCATTTAAAAAAAAAACGCAAATTTTTCATAATTTTTTCAATTATGATCCATGTTCATGGATCAGTTCGACTTAAATGCTTGTCTGACCCTTCAAATTGACTTTAATCTATATTTATATTGATTTGGCACGGCATACGAACCATTAGAATGCATTTAAATAAATTTAAAATTATTTTGTACTGTGATGGAATTCATCGATATAATGCTTTAGAGTTGAAAAGTACCTTGAGTGCCTGGCCATTTTTCGACCCTTATGTGTTGTCAAATCACTGCGAAACCAGTTCCATTCGATTCCTTGTTGAAAATTACGTGGGAAATGTGGTATTTGCATTGTTGATCGGATGGTCTATCCATGAAATATGGTACAGTTTCCGAACCAATTTTCCCGATTTTTTGAGGAAAAAAGCGAAAAAAGTCCCAATTTTCCGGATTCTTCGATCTGGATGGTATTTAACCTGAAAAAAAATTTCTTAACAAGGACTATTTCGACGTAATTTTTGACGAGGAATCGATTTAGCATCATAAAAATGCGATCCGATGGCGTCTAGACCCTAAAAACTAACGATTCAAAGGGTCATCAGAGGGTCATACCATGGAATATGAAAATGTACCGGGCCGAACGGAGGTTCATCTGGGGTCAAAGTCGTAGAACAAAAGTTGTTTGTATTGAGGTCCTCTATAATAAAAAACATGTCCATGGTACATTTCATGAAAATTGATCAAATGACCCACCCTAGTAAACAACAAGTAGTCACTTCACCACAGTGCGCGGAGAAATTTTGATCGAAGAAGTTATGTTATGCGTGGTATAAACGATACTTTCCAAGCTGATTTAATGGAAATGATACCATTTTCAAATGAAAATCGTGGCTTTAAGTATATTCTTATGGTAATAGATGTATTTAGTAAACGTGCGTGGGCTAAAGAGCTGAAAAATAAAACTGGTGAAGAGGTAACAAAAGCCATGTCATCTCTCTTCGAGAATAATCCAAAGCATATACCGCTAAATTTGCACACCGATCAAGGAAAAGAGTTCTTCAATCAACATTTTCAACTACTAATGAAAAGATATAGCATCAATCATTACTCAACATTCAGTAGAATGAAGGCATCAATTGTAGAACGATTAAATCGAACATTTCTCAATAAGCTGTGGCGTCGATTCAATTTGCAAGGTTCGCAAAAGTGTTTGAATCTCATACAACCGATCATGAAGGCTTACAATTCAACATTCCACTGAACGATAAAAATGAAACCGATTGATGTGAGCACGAAAAATGAACAAGATTTACTACAAACGGTCTATAAACGTAATCAAACTCTAACTGTGTGTAAACAAAAAATGAAATTCCATGTTGATGATTATGTGCGTATAAGCAAATAGAAATCACTATTCGAGAAGGGCTACACGCCAAATTGGAGCACGGAATTGTTCCGCATATCTGAAATTTTACCAACCGAACCAATCACATACCGACTAGTCGATTTAGACAACAAGAAAATCAAAGGTTGTTTCTATGAACACGAAATTCTCAAAACAGAGAAAAAAGATATTTATTTGGTTGAGAAAATAATCAAACGCAAAGGAAATAAATTATTTGTGAAATGGTTAGGTTTTGATGACACACATTCATCGTGGATAAATTCTAGCGATCGTGTATAAGTACAATTCGATTGATTTATGAACATTCAAAATAAAAGTTTGAAATAATAAATAAAATGACCTGCTTTGCATTTTTTTTGTTTATTTTATATATAAATTGGAACACTTCTTACAACAGCTCTCAGTACAACCTCAAACATTCATCGAGTAAAAAATCAAAATTTGATTTTGTTGTTTATTTTGGATAGTAAATAGAACGAAAAAAGAAAGCGACATTCCGTCAATCGAAAACGGAATTGAAATCATTACAAAAACTAGCGCATTTAAAAAGCGCGTACGAACGTATACATACAAAAATATTGATTATATCGATCTAAGGTCGTTCTTGAAAGAATCTCAACGAGTGTTTATCAAACAAACGAAAAAACTATTGAATGAAATTCCAAATATGAAACTTGATCTTAGAAGCAAAATTCAAACGAATTGTAAGTGAAGATAATCAAAAGGATTTTGATGAAACTGAACGAATTGCAACATTCTATTTACAAAGTAAATTGCAGCACATAACATTAACAACAAAACTTAAAAGTTGGTTCAAAACAAACGTTTTTGATGTTATGATGACAAAGGTTGAAGAGCTTCAAAAAAACGGTTCTGGATGGTCTCTTCATAAAATTATCGGCTTGGATGTGAATTACAACAAATTGGTGCGATTCAGAGGAAGCTCATACTTGGATACACCGAAATCAATAAAAAACAAAAGAGCAATTATCAATGTAAAAAATGATGACAATGAATGTTTTAAGTGGGCCATTCTTTCAGCATTACATCCGGCAAAAACAAACGCCGATCGACTATCGAACTATGAACGCTTTAAAAATGAATTAAATTTTGATGGAATCAGTTTTCCAGTGAAATTGGACGACATTTGTTTTTTCGAGCAATTAAATCCGCAGATTTCGGTGAATGTATACATCATGCAAAAAGAATATTCTATTTTCGAAGAACACAAAGTGAATGTTATTGTTCTAGTGAGGCTAACCGAAAATGTGAAGGAAAATCATTTAATTTGCTTTTGTTATTTGAAATGCTTGACAATGAAAACGACGATGATGATGACGAACAACTGCACGCGGTTGATATCAAAGAAACACTTGATGAACTCACCTGTACACATTACGTATGGATAAAAAATTTAAGTGCTTTAATTCAAAACCAAGTCTGTGCCAAAGATCGTTCTAAAAAACACATTTGCAATCGTTGCTTGCACTATTTTTATTCCGACCAGAAATTACAAGAACATTTGGTGTGGTGTCGTTCACAAAATGAAACCAAAATAACTTTACCAGACGCCGATCATCGTTGGATTAGTTTTAAGAATTTCAAAAATAAAATTCCAATTCCATTTATCATTTATGCAGATATTGAGTCTTTGTTAATTCCGATAACAAGCAATGATAGCAACGAAAACATTGACTTCAAAAAGAGACAACCAAAAGGTGCAACACATAAACAAATTCCAAACAGCATTGGATGCTATTTACATTCACTAAATGAACCTGATCTATCCCACTATAAATGTTGTTCTGGTGAGAAGTGTATCGATCAATTCATCTTTCACTTGGAACATCTAATGGAAAACATTATATGGCCAAAAATTCATGGAAATAAGCGTATGCAGTTGACGCCTAAAGAGTTAAATGATTTCACCGAGGCCACCGTTTGTCATATCTGCAATAAACCATTCAAAAATGAACCGAATAATAAAAAAGTACGTGACCATTGTCATATGAGTTCAGCTTATCGAGGCGCTGCCCACTCCAAATGTAATATGAAATTTCAAGTATCAAAATCAGTACCTGTAGTTTTTCACAATTTAGACTATGATGCGCATTTTTTGCTTGAGAAATTAGCCAATCTCATCGAAGGACGTATTTCAATAATTCCCAAAAACTGTGAACATTACGTTTCATTCACAAAGGATTTGGATTGCTTAGACTGTGATGACGATGGTGAGTGGACCAACTATCGCGATAAACCCCGGTTGAGATTCATTGATTCTTATCGATTTTTACAGTGTTCGTTGACTGAGCTTGCAAAATCTCTACCATCGGATAAATTAAACATTACACGAAAAGAATGGAGCAATTTAAATGAGAAGGATTTCTCTTTGTTGACAACCAAAGGAATATATCCATATTCTTATATGGACTCATGGGCGAAACTGCAAGAAACGCGACTGCCACCAAAGGAATCGTTTTATGATGAACTGAATGATAATAAGATAACTAAAAAGGAATACGCGCATGAACAAAGAGTATGGAAAACATTCAACATTGGAACACTACAGGAATACACAGAAATATATCTCAAAACAGACGTTTTGTTGCTTGCTGATATTTTTGAAAATTTTCGTCGCAATTGCATCAAACTGTATGAATTAGATCCTTCGCATTATTACACATTAGCCGGCTATTCATGGGATTGTATGCTGAAATATACACAGGTTGAAATCGAACTTTTCACAGATATTGACCAATTACTGTTTATAGAGCGCGGATTAAGAGGCGGTCTTTGTCAGTGCTCCCATCGATATAGCAAAGCAAACAATAAGTACATGGAGAATGATTACAATGCTGAAATACCATCCAACTATTTGATGTATTTTGATGTGAATAATCTTTATGGGTGGGCCATGTCGCAATCTCTTCCGATTTCTGATTTTTCTTGGTATGGTGATGATGATGAACTTCACGATATCGACGGAATCGAGCGTAAAATAATGAACACACATGATGATGCAGATTTTGGATTCTTCTTAGAAGTGGATTTAGAGTATCCCTCTGAATTGCACAATATACACAATTATTATTAGGGTGTAGCATTTTTCAAACATTTTAACGGCGAGGGTTATAACCTTGGCTATGGGATCCTCTGATCACGAATCAGGCGTTTTTTTGCGAAAAAAATATAAACTGATATGTCACGGCTCAACGGCGAAGTATCAAAAATGGGAAAAATTTGGATTTTTTTGAATTTTTGTGTAAGGCATAAAAATACACTATACTTTCAGTATTGCTTATTTTTATGCTTAAATCATCAGAACAGGACCCAAATAACATATTCTAGTAGAAAAATTCATTTAAATTCAAAAATGGATACCTTTACCATGGAACAACATTTCATTGAACATTTACAAAAATCCTGATATTCAAAACTATTCACTTCTGAACACAAATTTATGAATATTAAAGGTTTCCTGATCCGGAATGATCAATAATTGTCTGAAAGTAACATGGAAATTAATGTGTGCAAAGTATTCCATGCAACCGGCTAAGCCTATGAAGAGACAAAATGCGAATTCCCGTCATCTGTGCCATCTTGTATTCCATAGTTGAACTTTAGGGGACATTCGTAGCAATTCTAGTAAGCTAGTTTTATTTACGTATTCGCTAATCGCTTACTAGTATTACTAGTGAGTACACTAGTGCTGCTAGTAGCTGCTAGTTTTTCTAGTGTTTTGAAATTACCTAGACGTATCTTATGATACATAAAAGAAACAACAGTAATGCTTAAGTCGCTTGTAAACGAACCAAGTGAATAGCGGAGACGCACGATAACGAAGTGAGTGTATTGCGGCAACGGATAACAACGTTCGTTGTCGCTATTCACTCACTTCGTTTTCGTGCGTCTCCGCTATTCACTTGGTTCGTTTGCAAGCGACTTACGCATGCTACAATATATTTTACATGCCTCAATTCATTTGCTTTGAACTATAATACGCTAGTGCTTGCTAGTCGCTGCTAGTTGCTGCTAGTTTCACTAGTTTTTCTAGTATGAATGTCCCCTAGGTAACAGTAACATGGCTACATAGATCTGTTGACCAGTGAGATACGTATA